AGCGGGACAAAACATAAATGTTGCGGGCGGGAGAAAGTAATATAGAAAGTAGTCGAGAACGTCAGTTATTATAATGACCCACGTATTAAAAAAATAGTCGGGTTTAAACCGGGCTCATAACTACAGTTAATGTGTCGGGCTGGGTTCGGACACAGCGTGCTCGGGTAGGGTCGGGCTTGAGATCTACCTCAGGTATGCTAACACTTACAGGCACGAATCAGCCGTTTGTCCTTGGGGAACTTGTGGAGCCTCTCCCCGTTTTTGATGTATTCGTACATCCCGCACAAACACAATTTTGCCAATTTTGGCAAAACCAATTTTGGCAACCAATTTTGCTAGCTAGGTCTCCAATATAACTGCTAGCCTACTCGCCGTTTAGACTAACGGTAACTCTAGGCTTGGAGCATAGACAGTAAAAGCTTGGAGTCCCTTTTATGACGTCACGCCCAGCTAGTGGAAGGGAGGGGGCCACTGTAAAACGCACCAACTTTTCATATTATATGCAGCATTTTGGTACAAAAAAAAAACATACAAAACAATTGTGGGCGGTTCTTATCGTTATGTTTAGTGAGCACATTGCATTATCTTCGTGAAAAATGTAACCTGCAATTTACACTTTAAGACGACCTGAATGCTCATGTTCCACTTCTGTCGTAGTTGAAGCTCGGATTCATGTGGAGCGCACCTGAAGCGTGGAGGTGAGGAAGTTGTTCTGGGACACGATGTCCACGAAGAAGTCCGGAGGGATTTCTCCCAGCTGGTGGTAGAGCACGGCGACGAGGCCGAGGTACAGGTCCCGGCGCTCCCGCATGGCCTCCTCGCAGCGGCACAGCAGCGCCAGCAGGCTCTTCCAGTGCTCGAACGCCTCGTACACGTTCCCCAGCAGGAAACACACGAACGCAAACTGCAGCTCGCCTGCACACCGCATCATAGATTTAGATCTGTGTTATTGGGTCATTTACAGCTAAAAACACCTCTAGTCAAAATAACCGGCCTACAAAAACATACTTATGAATCTCTCATTATGCTTTTATTGCCAAATATTGGATTCAATCTTTTTGGCAACTAGATTTCTACCTAATTTGGTAAACAATAACCATCCTTTTAAATAGCTTGTAAATCTCTCGTTGTGCTTTATTATCATCACCAAACACTGGGTTCTATTTTTAATGCGAATTTTGGGATATTACATATTTTTTTAAATGCTGGATGGAAATGCCAAGATGTGCATAAACTCTATAAAATGCTCATTAAAAACATATGAGCTCAATTGAGGTGGACACAATTTTCATCCGATGAGAAGATGTGTGTATAGACTATGATAGAAACACATTTACTGAGTAAATCCCTCAATAGAGAGCCTAAGTCCCGCCCCTCCGCTTCCGGCTCATGGGACCTTATTTCGGAAAAAAATATGTATGGTAGTCAATGGCGAGAGACAACTTATCTTTTTATTCCGTCTGAACTGTGCCCTGAATTACACATATGATGTTTGTCAGTTTAAAAGATAATTATGAAAGTCAAGAAAGTCGCAGTTTGTCATGAAACAGAAGAGTGACATTTAGTTTTATGTGAAAATCGCCTAATGAACTACATCTCCCGGGAAGCGAAGCAACGAGCGAGATCCGCTGCTCGTGTGTGTGCAGTCTGGGACAAAACACTCAGGCATGACGGCGTAACGTTACGATTATAACTTAAGACTATAGGAACAATGACAGACGTTAGCTTCAGTAAAGTTAGCTTCAGTAAAGTTAGCTTCAGTAACGTTAGCTTCATTCATTGAGAGAAAACGTGCGCCTTTTGGGTTTGTAGTCTTTGTAATTACGTATTTTCACAGTCTTATCCCTCAACAGTTTCACATCAAACTGCGACTTTCTTGACTTTAAAATATATCTTTTAAATTGACAAACATCATGTGTAATTCAGGGCACAATTCAAACCAGATCAAAATATTTGTTGTCTCTCGCCATTGACTACCATGCAATATTTTTCCGAAATAAGGTCCCATGGTGGTCGACCGGAAGGGGAGGGGCTTAGGCTCTCTATGCACTACAAAAAAGAACTTTGCCTCAGCAGAGGCTGTGATTGGTTAACTGGACTAACCAGCGGACCAATGGCATCGCAGCACCTCTACTGTTGGTTTGGTGGCTCTGAAACGCCCGAGTCGAAGTGTGTGATCAGAATGATTTGGTGTAATTCCCTCCAGAAGCGTCTCCACACGAATCCCAGCGCTAGAGAACATGACAGCGCTTATCCCGTCTCGTCTGTCATAAGAAGAGCCAGTTTCTTCCCAGATTGCATCCGGATATTTTGCGCCACTTTCCTAGGAAGTGACGATTTTGTTCTCTTGAACACATGAGATGGAAACGCTGCTTTATTCGAAAATGTTTTATGCGATATTCTAATTTTGCGCACAACTTAAATATGCAACTTTGTACAGAAGCACAGCTATTACTGAAGCTGGACTGTGACGCTATTTTCTTTGTTGCATTATTTTCCTGTTATCTCTGTGAAGCTGCTTTGAAACACTCTGTGTTGTAAAAAGCGCTATAAATAAAGGTGACTCGACTATTGAGGTGCATGAGCTCAGATCAGTGAGGCCTACGGTCAATCAGATCCTAATAGAAATACAAAACCTGTGCTAATTGAAAGAAAACACGTTGACAAAAAGATTGAATCCAGTATTTGGCGATAATAAAGCATAATGAGAGATTTACAAGCTGTTTTAAAGGATGGATATTTTTGACCGAACTAGGTAAAGGATTTTCAGAAGAAGTGGTGCAAGCATCAATAAAGACTAGGGCTGTAACAATACACCGTCTCACAATATATCACAATACAAAAATGCAACTATATCGTGGATAGTGACAATATGTATTGTGTATAATTTACCATAAATAAAAATTATTAAAAAAATTTTTTTTTAAAAAATCAAGTTTACAGAGTTTTAGTGTCACTACTACATTAAACTACTATATATAATGTTGTAACGTATAATAATGCATTGGAGGAATGTGTGTGTCCTGATAATGCCAAATGTGTGATGTTAGCAGTATTTTAAATATATCTAACCAGTGGAGGAGTGGAAGGATAAAATAACTCTGTATTTTCAGCTTCAGAATCATGAATATTGTTATTCTGGCGTCTCTATTGTCCTGTGCTTTGGGTTTCAGCACCAAGTCCATTTTAATCTACAGTATATTTTTTGTTAATCTTTTATCATATGTCTTGGAGTCTCGCAATAATATGGTATCGTGAGTTCAGTATCGTGATATGTATCGAATCGTGACACGAGAGTATTGTTACACCCCTAATAAAAACCAATGACAACACATTATATCACAGGACAACAAGACCTCAATACAATGACATGTCATGGGCTTTATGGCCATTCCTGAAGGTTTAACAACATGATGTAAACTGAACAGCAACCAACGCTCACCTAGTACATCGAGCGGCTGCTCTTTATAATGTCTCTCGAGCACGCAGTTGAGAGAGTAGGTCCAGTCCATGCTGTACTGCGTGATCTGAGCCGGGGTCGCCCCGGGAGGGTACGCCTGTTCGGGGATGTGGGAGAACCGCAGCTCTGTGCCTTCCCTGTGCTTCATCCGGGGCAGCCGCTCCAGGCCCTCCTTCATGCTCTGGCACTCCTGATCGAGTCGGGGCAGGTTCTGCTCGGCCCGGTCTTTAGTGTGGGTCAGCTGCAGTTCTGGGATCACGTCGCTGAAGGCACACACGCGCCCGCTGAGGGGCTGGAGAGCGCTGGCCACCTCCTGACTGAGTCGGTCCGTCAGCGAAACCCACTTCCGGAGGGTGTCGTAGGGATACGGGCCCAGATACCCGTCCAGCTCCCGGAGATTGGCCCGTACGCGCTCCATCTCCTCCGGGCTCTGGGAGATCTCCAGGTCATCTTCAGCCTGGTTCCAGTGGGCCACGAGCACCTCGCGGGGTTTCAGGGACAGGAACAGGCCAGTTTTGGGGCCGATTTCCCCACAGCCTCCACTCGTGCTGACGGAGCAGTAGTGGAGGAAGTGGAGCCCTGGAGGAATCATCTTCACCCCGCGGAACCGGGGGCCCAAAGTCCAGGTTTTGTAGTCGAGCCCCAACTCTGTTCCCTCGGGAACACCGAGTAAGACAAGAGTGGCTCCTTCTTCAAATAAGCCCCGGGCCACTTCAGGGTCCATCTCTGTTCCTGCCATGTCTGTGTAAAGTACTGATCACACACAACATTACTGCAGTAGATATTAGTTACATGTGACTGGAATCACATTACAACGAATGATAAGAACTATTTCAGATATTGTAATTTGTCTATGTCATAAGAGATCACTGTGTCAGCTCTAGAAAGTTGTGCATTAAAAACGAATCAATTTTATGTTTGTACAGAAAGTTCAATATCGATGACTCTTTGGCAGGTTATATTCAGTTGGCCAAATATGGACTCATTTATGGCAGATTTAACATCAGGTGTCAGTGAGTATGAATAAAAAGTTCAAGATTTAGCTTTAGCTTCTTAAATACAATGTAAAAGACATTACATGAATACAATATTAAGGTATGGCACTGTATGAGTAAGCTAGAAAATATGTTTCCATAACAATGTAAATAATTAAATAACAACCAACAGGAAAACTAGTGTAAAACATGAATATGTCGTAAAGAACAAAACAGAAAACTCATAATACCAAAACAACAGCGCTCAGTCACAAATCCAGCATTTCTGCGTGAACGCCATGTGTGAAACAACAAGAGGGAACTTCCGCCGAAAGGCAAAATAAAAGCCCTACTTTACAGTTCAACACAACATCCATCTGCAGCTGACAAAGTGTGTCACCCTACAAGTTTAATAGGGCATTAAAAGCATTTTTACTCGTCCTCCGTTAAAGTGTCATATATAAGTCTAACAAAATTGTACAACTGCTATTTCTCAAGAAAAGAAGAAATGTTTGTTGTAGACTTTTACAGCAAAACCTTCGCTGCTCTTCGTCGGACACTCCACAGCTTCCGGTTACACCGCGAGCGGGTGTGAGTGAATGTAGTGGGGCTTTTATGACTGAATAGTGTGGATTTAGCCTCGATCTGCTTGTTCTGCGAGTGTCTGCAGTGATCAGGAGTGTGTATTCCTGCGACAGTAGAAGAGCGATGGGCTTCCGTAAGAAGAACAAGAGTCCGCCCGTGCTGAGCCACGAGTTTGTCATCCAGAATCACGCGGATATGGTGTCGTGTGTGGCCATGGTCGTCCTGCTGGGACTCATGTTCGAGGTCTGAGCTAACTCCTCCAAACACACACCACAACATCTGTCATCAGTGTTAAATCTGTACCATAACATCTGTAATCAGTGTTAAATGTGTATCATGAACACCATAACATCTGTTATCAGTGTTAAATGTGTATCATACACACCATAACATCTGTAATCAGTGTTAAATCTGTATCATGCACACCATAACATCTGTAATCAGTTTTAAATGTGTATCATACACACTATAACATCTGTCATCAGTGTTGAATCTGTATCATACACACCATAACATCTGTTATCAGTGTTAAATGTGTATCATACACACCATAACATCTGTAATCAGTGTTAAATCTGTATCATGCACACCATAACATCTGTAATCAGTGTTAAATGTGTATCATACACACCATAACATCTGTAATCAGTGTTACATCTGTATCATGCACACCATAACATCTGTAATCAGTGTTACATCTGTATCATGCACACCATAACATCTGTAATCAGTGTTAAATGTGTATCATACACACCATAACATCTGTAATCAGTGTTAAATCTGTATCATACACACCATAACATCTGTAATCAGTGTTAAATGTGTATCATGAACACCATAACATCTGTAATCAGTGTTAAATCTGTATCATACACACCATAACATCTGTAATCAGTGTTAAATCTGTATCATACACACCATAACATCTGTAATCAGTGTTAAATGTGTATCATGAACACCATAACATCTGTAATCAGTGTTAAATCTGTATCATGAACACCATAACATCTGTAATCAGTGTTAAATCTGTATCATACACACCATAGCATGCTATTGAAATTTGTAATTGTATAATAACATGATTGTCACATTTTAGGATCTTTTTGACTAATATTACACTAATAACATGACCATCTCACAATGTTATGTAAATATGCATTAGTTTTTATTAAGTTACACAGGCCATTAATTAGTGGGTTGAATATTTCAGTATTTCCAGTCAAGAGACATAAAATCTTAATATGTTGTTCTTAATATAATTGCTTAATTAGAAGTCGGTGTCCACATGCCACTGAATGCAAGTGAAAGTTATGTTAATAGTTTAGCTAAATGCACTAGACATGCTAAATGATCTAAAATCAAGTATGTGAAATAATGGAAAGATGAGTGACTTCCTCATTACAGTCTGATGGCAGAGACGGATATATTTGACCTGTTCAATGTTCTCAACTTCCTCTCAACTTAAACTTCCTTAAAAACTATATTCTAAACTATAACAACTTTTCTTTTTAAATCGAGTCTCTGTTTCTGTACTAATATTGCTGCAGTTTGTACTAGAATGGCACATATATTTGATGTGGTGCTGTTAATATTGTGGCTTTTGCTATTTGTTTGTGTATGTATGTATTCAAATGATTTTGTTTTATTGCAGGTGACAGCAAAGTTCGCCATCATGTTCATCACAGTCCAGTATAACGTCACGCAGAGCCTGGAAACAGGTACGGCTAGATCAGTAATGCTGAGTGACGAGCATCAGGGTCCAGGCTGACACACACGTGACCACAACTGACTAACTCGAATGAAAGTCCATAAATGTCTGTGGGTGAACACTTCTCCCGTGTGCCTGAAGGATTCAGAGGAGTCAATTGTTTAGATTCTAGTTCCTGAGATTAGAAGTCTTCACAGGTCCACTTTCATCCCAAAACCCGAGACCGGGTTCAAAACTGGGACGCGGGCCGAGGGTGATAGTGGGAGCTTCGTGTCTCGGGTAATAGAAAAAGAAGGAAAAAAACGTGCTTTTACCATTTGGACCTGAAAAGACTTTTTTTTTAAAAATATGCTTATAAACCTAAAAATAAACATATTTTTCGTTTAACGATATCTTATTATTTAAAACAAATATACTATACGTTGATTAATTTTATGACCGTGTTTTGATGGCCATTCGTCCCTCTTCTCTGTCAGTCTGCGCTTCACTGTGGAAATGCTGCACAATTCTGAATGAAGTCAAAATTATTGTTTTTTGTTTCAAACTGAGATCACAAACCTATGGAAGCTTGTTTCCGCCACAGGATGAAAAATAATAACAGTAATTGCAACTTTTTTTTATCACAATTGCGAGTTTACATCTCAGAATAGCGTGATATAAAGTCGCAATTTTGTGTTTTAAAGTAAAGTTGTGAGATATAAACTTGCAATTCTGAGTAGGGCTGGGTACCGAGTTCGGTACTTTTTAGGTACCGACCGAATTGCCTCGATACTTCCGAGTATCGAAACATGTCTTGTTTTTCGGTACCACATTTCGGTACCTAAGTGGTTAATCTCGTCAACGTCAGTGAAACAATAAGCATGCAGCATGATTGGCTGTGGCGGAAAAACACTAGATTACGCGGCTGCCCAGAGACGCGGCTCGTCGCACGTGAGGCTGCAGTGTGTGTGCGTGTGTGTGTGTGTGTAAGCGTGCGTCCCAACCCAGATAGATAGAAAATATGTGGAAATGATCCAAAGTGTACCTATGTCATGTGCCAGACTCGATGCCAGATGCACGCGATGCAATATTTTCGACAAGATCATTGCTGCCAAGACCGGCAACACGGTAAATCTAGGCACTGAAGCGCACAAAACACACTTGAGAGTAATGGTGTTCACATCGAACGCGAATAGAGCGTCAAATACGCGTCTATCGCGTCTAGTTCGACGCTTGAATCTTCAGCTCGAGTTCAAATTTTTCAACTTGCGCGGAAGACGTTCGCGGCAAACGCGTCGTCCAATTCGCGTCATTCGCGACGCCCGGCGCGAATGATGCGTCTATTCGCGTCTTTGCATTGACTATGTATGTAATCTACTCGCACAAATAATTAAATTCGCGTTCGGTGTGAACACACCATTAGTAAACACTTGTTCATTAATAAACAATTAAAATATCTCCTTGCTATTGTTTCCACATCCATAATCATTAGGCTACTTTTGCCAGTGCTTTGCGGCAAGCTTCACGTGCAGGTATATATCCCGCCCCCCAGTTGCCTATATTTAATTTAATTCACATTTATTTGTATAGCATTTTTCACAATACATATTGTTTTAAAGCAGCTTTACAGAAAATGCATGTCTAAATTACAATTTAGAGTGATCTGTTATCAGAGGTGACAGTGTAATGCATTTCAATTAATTTTCATTCAGTTTCATCGTTAATTAATGCATTAAGTTAAAGCAGAAACAATGAGCTCATTGAAGTAAAGAATACATGTTGTTAAATGATTAGGAAACATAGAAAACTTTAGCATTGGTGCTTTTTTACATACTCAAAATATGAGTGTAAAAAAGTCAACAAACTGAAAAAAAAATTAGGTAATGTTATATTGTAAAACCTGGTTACATAAAATTGGTATCGAAAAAAGTATCGTTCAGGAACCGGTATCGAAGTCAAGGTATCGGTATCGGTATCGGTACCGAACAATTTGTTACGATACCCAGCCCTAATTCTGAGAAAAAAAGGCTTTTTTTTCCCTTAGAATTGTACTTTATAATTTGCAATTGCGATTGGGAGAAAAAAGTCGCAAATGTGAGATAAAAAGTCGCAATTGTGAGATATAAAGTCAGAATTGTGAGAAAAAAGTCAGAATTGTGAGATAAAAAGTCACAATTATGAGAAAAAAGTCGCAATTGTGAGATAAAATTTCAGAATTGTGAGAAAAAAGTCAGAATTGTGAGAAAAAAGTCGCAAATGTGAGATAAAAAGTCGCAATTGTGAGATAAAAAGTCGGAATTGTGAGATAAAAAGTCGCAATTGTGAGATAAAAAGTCGGAATTGTGAGAAAAAAGTCAGAATTGTGAGAAAAAAGTCAGAATTGTGAGATAAAAAGTCGCAATTGTGAGAAAAAAGTCGGAATTGTGAGATAAAAAGTCGCAACTATCTTTTAAAATGTTTTATTCTGTGGTGGAAGCAAGCTTCCACGATTCTGAATAGACAACTAAACTAAATCAACTAGAGGTTCTGACACAATTAAGAGCTGCAGTCTATTTAAAAATGCTTAATTAATTTCAATGAATCATTTTAAAAACATCGGTTTTAATGAATGATGCATAAATGCTTCGCTTATTTCACTACTGGATGAATCGCTTTTGAATGAATCTCTTGGAACAGAAAATGCTTTTTAAAAATGATTTATTTCTTATTTTAAATGAGCATTTGTTCCCGCAGAGCCGTGTGAACGGCTGTCGTTACAGTGTCATCTTTACACGAACACGTTTTTAGTTCATCGCTGGACTGCACGATTTTCAAAATAATCGGGTCACTGTTGTTTTCACACTGCACGACTATCTGGGGTAACATTCAGTTGCTGCTGTGTTCACACTGCACGATGGATCGGCGACAGGAGGTTTCACACTGCATGACTTTACAAAAGAAAGAATCGCCGACAACTTCTGCCTGGTCCGCAAACTACGCTTCACAACCAAACAAACGCGAGAAGTGATAGGAAATAACGGAAGATCACGCGTGCGTGGGACCGGAGTTCTCGCGCGACTCTGAATTTGTTATTAAAAATGATAGCCTACAAATTGTCTGTGCACTGATTTGTAGCGAAAATGAAAAAAAAATAAACAGTTTATTTTGGAAATGGTTGGGAAGACGAGGGGAGCAAGGACTGTGTTTTGCAAAGAGAGTTGGGGGTAAACAAATAATTTTGCAAATGTGCTGCTGTTGCTGCTGGTCATGCAAATGTTTGTGCTTTGTTTCTGTTTGATATAATTGTAAATATAGGCTAATATCTATTAAAATACTGATATTCTGGTCTATAACTCCTCCTCCTCCCTGTATCTTGCTCTCTCATTGGCTGTCGGTCATCGCCGATGTAGTTTTCAGTCAGAACACATTCACACAGCAGGATTGTGAATCGCCGACAGGTCCAGATATTTAGCATGCCAAATATCTCACGGGCGTCGGTGATTCTCTCAGATCGCGTCCTTGCTCATTCACACTGCGTGATTGTCACTCGCGTGAACGAGCACCGATTTGCCTGTGATTTCGGGCATTTGTCGGCGATTTCTCAAAACCTGTCGGCGAGCCAAAATCGGGGCTAAAATCGTGCAGTCTGAACTCGGCATTAGTGAAAGTGTCAATTCATTATAGTGACCGTAAAAATATTTCTTTATTTATAAAGTCATTTTTGTGAGGAGTCTACAGACGATACAGTTATTCCAGCTAACGGAGTGTGTTTTCCTGCCGTGACCTTTCACCCCTCGCCCAGATGCCGTCATCCGATGAGAAATGTCAGTGTGTGTGACGAGGACATCACAGGTCCTGCTAATCCTCCCGTTAGTGAGAAGTGCGTCTAGACGAGCTGCACTGCGTGGACCCCTGACGAGTGCGCATGAGTGTGTGTGTGTGTGTTTAAAGGAGCACGCGTTCACTGTGTGTCTTGGTTGCTTCAGATGCAGAGGACAAGCCTGAGCCGGTGAACCTCTACAGGTACGGCCCGCGGGACATCGCCACGGTGTTCTTCTACCTGCTCATCGCCGTCATCCTGCACGCCCTGATCCAGGAGTACGTCCTCGACGTGAGTAACGCCTCGCACTCCGCCCGTGAGAGGACAGCTCGTGTTTAACGCTGCGTTTCGTGATCCTCTGTAGAAAAGCTCTGTTTCCTCTCAGGACATCAGGGCTCATTAGAGGAGAGCGCTCGGGTGCAGTACACACACACACACACACACACACACACTTCATGTCTCTGTTTTCAGTTTAACTGTTCACTCATTAGTGCAATTGGTACAATACACTAATAATGTGTGAATACACAAACCTGCGAGACATAGCCTGGTGAGCGTGAACGCGCATGACGTCACGCCCAGTCTCAAATTCGAGAGTCCCTCTTATATATTTTACTGTACAGGATTATAGTGGCAATCTCAGTGCGCAGAGAAGGGCTCATTCAGCACATCAGGCAGTTCTTTAAAGGAGAACTCCGGCGCAAAATGAACCTTTGGTCTAATAAAACATTGGCACCTAGTCAACCGTTCTCTGAGATTTGTTTTCATGATAATCGAATGTAAAGAGTTTTATCTCTAAAAACTGTTTAGCGTATAATGCTAGTAATGGGGGCATTTAATAAGTAAAAAGAAATTGCTAGTTTATACCACTAACAAGGCTCAAAATAGCCCCACACTAACACAGTAACATAATGAGGGTCCCTACATGCAAAACGAAGCATTGAGAACTTTGTAAGTGTACAGACCGTTTAATAAGAAGATAAAGATAAAGACAGTCCACTTCGTGTATACAGACAGGATCCATCTTTGGAAAACAGTCTCGACTAATCAAACCACGAACGACGTGCTAAGTGAGCTGAACTGTATGAAGTTCAGTGAACTTCTGATCTGTATGAATGGCGTCTTTCCCTGCGCGTTTCCCTGATTCTCTTGATCACCTGTGGTAACAGAGAGACCGGAGGGAAAGCATATAGCCGGAGGCTGGGCCAAACCTGGGCCAGCGCGTCCTCGTCCTTCGAAAAGAACGTCGGGCATTGAGCGTTGTCTTTTGACGCAAATAGGTCGACTTCCGCTCTGCCGAATAGGCGCCACAGTTTCTGGACCGTTTGGGGGTGCAGGGACCATTCCCCTGGGGGAACATTGTCCCTGGACAGTTTGTCTGGGCCGTCGTTCAAGTGGCCAGGCACGTGCGCCGCCCTCAGCGAGCGCAGGTGCATCTGAGACCAAATAAGGAGGCGTTCCGTCAGATTGCAGAGATTTCTGGATCTGCCACCGCCCTGACGGTTTACATAGGATACCACAGACATGTTGTCCGAGCGGACAAGAACATGTTGGTCCTGTATGAACGGGAGGAAGCGCTTCAGCGCGTTCTCGACCGCTATCATTTCCAGACAGTTTATGTGAAAACACTTCTCTTGGTCTGACCACTGGCCGAAGACCGGTCTGCCCTCGAACAGCGCGCCCCAACCCGAGTTGGACGCGTCTGTCGAAATGACTTTCCGATAAGAGATGGTGCCCATCATCACTCCCTGCTGGTACCAGTCGCCCACTTACCAGGGCTGCAGAGCCGCTATACAGGTCTGAGTCACTCTGATTTTCTGGCCGCCAGAAACCCAAGCTAGGCGGGACGCGCGAGCATTCAACCAGTGTTGGAGCGGGCGCATGCGCAGTAGGCCCAGCTGGAGCACCGCTGCCGCTGAAGCCATACAGCCCAGCATCCTTTGAAACGTTTCAAAGGGAGAAAGCTGCCCTTCTGATAAGATGCGGCTAGGTGGCAAACACGGCGCGTGTGCTGTGTCGATAAACGAGCCGTCATGGTCACCGAGTCCAGTTCTATTCCTAAAAAGGAAATTGACTGGCTGGGCAGTAATGAGCTCTTGGTCCAGTTGACCGTGAGACCCAAGCTTTCCAGGTGACTGAGAAGCACTGTTCTGTGAGATAGCAGCTCTGTCTCTGACTGTGCCAAAATCAGCCAATCGTCCAGATAGTTCATTATTCGCAGCCCCTGACTTCTCAGAGGGGCGAGCACCGCGTCCATGCACTTCGTAAATGTACGGGGTGCTAGAGACAGGCCGAACGGCAGGACGGTGTATTGATATACCTGACCGTCGAAGGCGAATCTCAAAAATTGCCTGTGACGGGGTATTATCTGAATCTGAAAATAGGCATCTTCAGATCTAGAAAAATAAACCAGTCCTCGGGCAAACGTGCGCGAGGATTTTCCTGGTCGTAAGCATTTTGAACGGTCTTTTCGCACGCACTCTGATCAAAAGTCTCAGATCTAGGATAGGTCTGAAGGCTCCGTCCTTCTTGGGTACGAGAAAATAACGGCTGTAAAAGCCTGACTCGCTCAGGGAAGGCGGTACCTTTTCTATAGCCCCTTTGCACAGCAGCTTTGCTATTTCTGCGTGAAGTAGGTGTGCCGGGTTCAGATCCGCCATTTGCGGGCTTGTGAAACTGAACCGGAGCCGAAAGCGCGCGCTCTCGGTTCTGGGCAATGGCAGCTCGCTGAAGGCCGAAACCGGCTGATTTATGTGAGATGTCCCAATCAGAAGGGATGGGGAACCTTTTCTTCTCACTTTTAGACGCGCGAGCAGCGCTCTGGGTGGAAAAGCTTCCTGTAAGCGTGAGCGCGTGTGCGCGGGCACGAGACTTACAAGTGTATTTGACGCCCCGATCGTAATGGATGGGGAGCGTCTTATTAATGCCCTGCGTTTTGTGATAACACTTAAACGCGCGGGCGGCGCCCGGGGGGAGGTTTGTGTTAGTAAGCGTGAACGCTCTCTGGCGGGCACGAGACTTACATTCATAACCTGCTTTCTTGACCGTGTAACAGAGCGGGCAGATAGTGGGCACAGACCTGTGGACACATTTCTTACATTCAACACTCGAGCGGCTTTTCTGCGCTTTATGAAAGTGTGCTCTGTGGGTGACACGAGATTAGAAGTGCTTGTGTGTAGGGGTGAACACTGGGGCGTGGGCACTTCCACTACACTTAAAACACTGACGGCGTGAGCCGGACCAGACATAATATTATTTTTGAGATTTCTCTGGGTCGCCGTGAAAACGGCGTTTGTGTGCAGGCGAGAGGGTGAACAAACCGGCTCGTTGGCTGCTAAATGAACCACTGCAGTAGCCTGTTTGAAGGGGACTGACAGGGAAACAAGCTTTGACGGCGGTCCGGCCGCAGCGGGACACGCGCGTCTTTTCTCTCTCTTTGTTAGGAGGGCTTCGCGTGCTCAGGCTTCAGCGTGATCTTCTGCCGAGGCCCTCTGGGGGGCGGCGGTCTGTGACTGCTGTCTGAGCGCGACCCAGGGCGGCCGCCCTGACCTCGCTGCGAAGGCCGAGGCTGTGCTGGATGCTGGGCGCTAGCTCGCACAGGAGGCTGGCTTTGTTTCTCGGAAGAGCGGCCTGTAGCGGACCTCGAGCGTCGTGGCAGGAAGAGGTTCATGGCCTGAGTGGTCTTCCGTACCTCAGAAAAACGGTCTAACGATCCCGTTTACCGCTGGGCCGAAGAGACCAGTGGGGGAGAGCGGCGCGTTCAGGAAGGTGGCTCGCTCAGTTTCCCTCATATCCGCGAGCGTCCACCAGAGGTGCCTCTCTGTTACAGTCGACGCGGCCATGGCTCGTCCAATGGCTTGAGCTGCGGTTTTGGTGGCGCGGAGAGAGAGATCCGTTGCGCTTCTCAGATCTGTAACCGCAGCTGGATCCCGGCCCTTCTCATCCCATTCACGGAGGAGGTCGGCTTGCAGGATCTGTAGCACAGCCATGGAGTGGAGAGCAGACGCGGCCTGGCCAGAGGGGGCATATGCGCGGCCGACCAAGGCGGACGTAGCTCTGTAGGCTTTAGACGGGAGGGCTGACCGTGACTGCCATCTCGAGGAGGGCGGGCAAAGGTGCGCTGCGACCGCCTCTTCCACAGGGGGAATAGCCGTGTACCCTTTCTCGGCGGCGCCGTCCACTTGGGAGAGCGACGCGGAGGCCTGGGACTGAAGTCTCGAGGAGAATGGTGCATTCCATGACTTCGTCAGCTCTGTGTGAAGTTCCGGCAGGAATGGAGCGGGCCTGCTCGCTGAAGCTGCACGGCGGCGACTCTGAAGGAAACAGCCGTCGGGCCTGTTCGGCGCGGGTTCCTTCGGCAGCGACCACTCGAACCCGAGACGGTCAACAGCCTGCGTCAGCAGGCGCATCAGTTCCGCGTCAGCTCCAGCGCGGGAACGGCTGGATTCCTGGATTGACGAGGAGGCGGAGTGAAGCGACCATTCCTCGCTGTCTGATGCCAGGATGGAGCAGCAGTCTCTCGTGGCCTCATCCTCAGATGCGACGGCAGTGAGGCTCGTGAGCGGCAGCTGAGCGTCGGTGAGGGGAGGCGGGAAGGCGCATTTGATGCTCGAGGAAGGTTCTCCGGCGAGCGCGTCGCTGTGGCCACGGACTCCGGCTGTCTCAGGGAACGGCGCTTCTTCCTGCGCGGTCCCACAGAGGGTGGAGTGGCTGCTTCGGGGTTGAAGGCTTCGAGTCGAGCCCGCAGGGTCGACAGCAGAAGTGCTTCACAGAGCTCGCAGCCCCCGGAGGCGAGGACAAGCTCTGCATGTTCCAGGCCCAGGCAGAGAGCGCAGATCACATGGCGGTCTCCCGACGCTGAGCGGGACCCTGCACGAGCCGCAGGAAGTGCGAGGCATCTTTAAAAAGACACTCGCGCTCTTTTAGGAATAGTTTTGCAAGGTAAAAACAGGGTTCCCGCGGGGTCTTAAAAAGCCTTAAAAGCATTGAATTTATGAATTTGGAAATAATACCTTAAAAAGTCTTTAAAAAGTCTTGAATTTTGATGTCTGGGTCTTAAAAATTGTGTTGGATGTCAGTGTTCATTTCATTTACTAAAATAATGACGAAAACTTTTCTTCAACGACATTTTTCACTGAAGAAAACGAGACGCTACTTAAATAAAACCTAGTTTTGAATGACAAAAACTATGACGAAAATCTATTGACATTTTCGTCAACGAATAAAAACTAGATGACAATGTTAGATAGTGTCGATCTTGGAAGCGATCCAGTCAGAACTGATGTCCTGCGTGTGTGGTAGATGCACACATTTGTACTGTAACGTGCTGATCTACCTCGCGGTCTCATAAAATGTAAAAAATGTAAACCAACCCGAAGCGTGGAGCCATATACAGCCCCCAATTACTGAGCTCTCTTTCGTGTCTGAATGGACAAATACACACAACATTATGTCTAAATGTCCGGTTTGGAGAGTATTCATGTAAACTATGTCGGTTATGTCTTAAACAGTTGTATCGGGTGTGCATCAGTGCAATCGTATCCGCATGTCATTGGACATGAGCCGATGTCTTAAAGTGACAGTGGCAATGAACATAATGCGGTCTGTGTCATTAATAATAATCAAGCAACAAAAGAAAAAGAGAAAAGCATTCACTGTTTGTTAATAGCTTTAATAAGGATTAATTATATTTAATTCATACAAATAATTGTCTGCTTGAAAGAATAAAGAATGATGTGTAAGTAGTTATAAGGAATGAATATATCATTCATTGTAAAGAAGACTGTGTTGTACTTTAGGAAAAGTGGTTTTATTTCATTTTAAGATATTTTTTAAGTAACAGCAGTTAAATCTATATCTGTATTGCATGTTCAAACTTAAAAATCATTCATATTAATAGGTTAATAGATGTTTTCTCCGGGAGTGTATGGGTTTGGAAATTTTAGAGAAATTCTAAATTAACACATTACAATTTACCTAAACCCATTATATTTTAGTCGACTAAATCTACTGTAGATTTAGTTTACAGTAGATTTCGAAAATCTAAAAAAAACTAAAATCTAAAATCACTAAAATCTTATTGTATTTCGTCAACTAAAACTAGACTAAAACTAAAACAGATGACTAAAATATGACAAAAATTAGTTTGTCATATTTTTAGTCAAAAGACTGAGACTAAAACTAAATCAAAATTTGCTGTCAAAATTAACACTGCTGTATAACTTCTCCGTATTGTATTTTCCCTCAAAAGTTTCATTTGTCAACCACGATTATTATGATTTTCGATGTTTATTGTTCAGGGGTCTCTCAGTTCCCCATATTCCCAGCATGGAATAAGTAGCTAGCTAATGTTAAAACACAACTTAACATTGTTCGGCAAACTTTCTTGTGGCCTACTGAAATGTTTTTATTTTTCACACCTGCTTGGCTTATCATCTTTTACCCATTCCACATTTGAAAAATAAATGAACACAAGTTGAAGGATTTAGTTTTTCTTTGCTGGTAGGGACGTGAAATGGGTATTAATTTTTTATATAAATGGTCTTAAAAAGGTCTTAAAAAGACTTTAACTTGAAGAAACCTGTACGAACCCTGTAGGATTACTGTAGGAACCCTGTAAAAAGGATACGTCGCCGGATAGCGTAGCTCGCACGGATGGCTGAAGGTGGCGAAGACGGCCGGCTTCCTCAGCCCTGTCCTAAGCTGGCTGTTCGCTGTTCGACGGCGGCGGTGGCTTCTCTTAGATCCAGCGATGCGAAGAGCTCGCTGAAGAGACGAAAAACCAGGGAAGTCAGCCTACAGCCCCTACTTTTATACGCTAAGCCACGCCCATTCTGGCGGGCTGTGACGCTATGAAGTCGCGGGCGCTCGTCATTGGGCCTGGCGTCACGCGGGGCTCACTGGTAGGCTGCAGCAGTTGCCGCTAGGGCTGGGTACCGAGTTCGATACTTTTTAGGTACCGACCGAATTGCCTCGATACTATCGAGTATCGAAAAAGGACATGTTGTTCGGTTCCAGATTTCGATACCTAAGGAGTTAACTCGTCAACGTCAGTGCTCAAACAAATACATATGAAATGCACATACACGCAAACTCTACACACGCAAGACGCGTGGAACTCTCCGCGCACATACTCATATGAGACGCGCGCGTGCACGCACAAACTCTCCACGCGCATACTTATATACGAGACGCGAGCACATACTCAATGACACGCGAGCACACACACACACACACACAAACTCTCCGCGCACATACTCATATGAGACGCGCGCATGCACGCACAAACTCTCCACGCGCATACTTATATACGAGACGCGAGCACATACTCAATGACACGCGAGCACACACACACACACACACAAACTCTCCGCGCACATATTCATGAAACGCGAGCACACACACATAATACCTTAAAGATGTGGAAAAGTCGATCAAAAGTGTGGGTACATTTCTCCAGGCCTGATGCCAACAGCGCGCGATGCAGTATTTGCGGTAAAATAATAGCAAAGACCGGTATTACGACAAATATGATGAAGACCTTGACAGTGCAGTTAACATAAAAGTTGCTCCTCTTCGATTGGTAAATGAAGAGATACCTTGTTGACAGTGTTGTTTATATTGCAATAATAACCTCCTGAATGTAGGCCTACACTGCCGTTCAAAAATGTGTTGGTTAGTCAGAATTTCTTTTCAGTAAGGATGCATTAAAGTTATCAAAGGTGACATTAAAACATGTGTAATGTTACAATATATTTCGTTTTTAAATAAATGATGTTCTTTTGAATTTTTTATTCAAAGAATCATGAAAAATGTATCATAGTTTCCAAAATATTAAGCAGAAAACTGTTTTCATATTTCTGAAGGGTCATGTGACACTGAAGTAATGATTTTGAAAATTCAGCTTTGAATTCAATTCATTTCAATAAATTACATTTTGAAATATATTCAAATAAGATTTTAAATTGTAATACTATTTCACAATATTACAAGTTTTACTGTATTTTTTATTTTTTTAAAATCAGCTTTGGTGAGCATGAGCTCTTTATAAAACATTTTTTGTTCCTTTGTACACTGGCTAAGGAGCATGAATCAAACTGAAAAAATAAAACCAAAGTTTTTCTGAGGTAATGTGTAATGTAATCTTGTTAAAATGGATTTCATAAAATTTGGTATCGAAAAAAGTATCGTTAGGAACCGGTATCGAAACTGAGGTATCGAAATTGTCACCGGATCGAAAGATTTTGAACGATACCCAGCCCTAGTTGCCGCAGGGCAGCCAATGAGCACGCGAGATGGCCTGCTCTAGGTCTGCTAGCTGCTGCACTGCGTTGACAATGAATAGTATATAGATATGAATAGATAATTTTTTGGCTTCAATATCTCGAGAAGATGAATCTTTCCGTAGCGTAAGGTAAACTTACGCAATACGAGAGAACCTCTCGTAAGAGAACCAAATTTTTATATAAATTCGAGTCTGAATACAAAAACAAAGGTCTCACTCTCAACATTAAAATGTAAGTCCCAAGCACACAGTTATAATGTTCTCATGCTAATGTTGTGCAGCCGATATGACAGACTTGCGCTGCTCATGTTGCACTGACCTGTATTTCAATCATATTTCAAGCGATTTAAAGCATCATGTTGAACTGTGCGCATCTGAAGCGTCTCAGCTGAAGGAAATAACACATCATTTATCGGCTTTAATATCGGCCAAATCTTCTTATCAGGCCGATAACGATAACATTGTAAATGATCATATATCGGCCGATACCATATATCCTGCATCTCTAGTGGAAACCATACATTTGTTTAATGAATAGAAAGTTTAAAACAACATTTTTATGAAAGATAATCTTTTGTAACTTTATAAATGTCAATTTAATGTGTCCTTGCTAAAAAAGTAAGGGATAATCCATGTCTAGGTGTGCGTTACATTAATGCACGACGTGGAGGGAAAGAATTTATATATTTTATGCAAAAATATTGTGATTTTGTCTGTGACTTCTTGCTATTTCAGGCCTTGAGCCTTTGCCAGACTTATTTTATTCAACAAAGAGTCTTGAAACCAATTCGAATGGCGTGTGCACACACTCGAATGGCAGTAACCCATTTCCTTTCCCTTAGAAAATCAATCGCCGGCTGCACCTGTCCAAGACCAAACACAGCAAGTTCAACGAGTCGGGACAGCTGGCCTCCTTCTACCTGTTCTCCTTCGTCTGGGGCGTCAGCATCCTCACCAATGTGAGACGGCGGGACATCACCACTCACTTACCCTGCGCACACACACACACTCCCTCTCTCTCTCTCTCTCTCTTCTCTCTCTCACACACACACACACACACACACTCTCTCTCTCTCTCTCTCTCTCTCCTCTCTCTCTCTCTCTCACACACACACACACACACACACACACTCCCTCTCTCTCTCTCTCTCTCTCACACACACACACACACACTCACACACACTAACGGACTGTGGTTTTCTGTCCACAGGAAGAATTTGTGACCAATCCGACCTTTCTTTGGGAAGGCTATCCTCATATCCACATGGCGTGAGTGTTGAATCATGTGACCACTTCATTCTAACAGCCTTTAAAAAAATGTGTCCAATCGCTGATAAAAGTATCAATCAGACACATGATTGAGGCATAATTCATGTCTAATACTGACAGTGCGGGACATGTTGTGTGCCTGAATGTGTGCGGTAAAGTGCTCATTTAAATCACTTACCCTAAGTATGCACCATAGTAATAGTGATCATTTATTTAGCAATCCTGTAATGTTAGTGGTTTATATCTGTTAAGGCCAAGTCTTAGAGAACAGAACAAATTGTTACAGTGAACATCCTTTTCTTCATTTGGACTCAAAACTCTTTTTTTCTTTTTTTTCTTTTGACAAATTGAGTGTTCATCGGAGGGGTCCAAGACCCCAGGACTTTTGTTGCACTTCAACAACAAATACACACAAAAAATTATTGAATGGATTCGAGGAGTTTTGTAGTTGAAATTTTAAAAAGTAATCCTTCACTCGCGGGTCAAATTGATGTAAATCGAGGAATGCTTCAGTACACAAACAAAAAGCTAAAAAATGATTTTATAATGTCGACATGTGTGTCTGAATGCATGCTGAAGCGAGCTGACTTTAGGACCCAGAGGAACAGCTCATCTAGAGTCATGAAATATCATGCTGTATTATTATTTTCCACAAGAGGTCAGCAAAGATGCACAATGTAATAATAAATAATAATACGTTTATTTTATATAGCACCTTTCAGAATACTCAAGGTCGCTTTACAATAAAGTACAAATAAACATGACATAGAAACAATAAAAATAAATTGAAAAATGTAAGATATTTAGAGCTGAATTAAAAGGGTTATGCATGAAATTGTGAGTTATTTTGTAAGTTAAAAGAATGTGAGGAATGTGCTTAAATTACTATTTATTTATTATTTATTGATAAAATGTAGTAAGTTAAAGGTAAATAAAATAAAAAAGTAACAAAATCTCCCCGAAATAAAATAGAAAAAATATTATCATAATGAAATAAAATAAGCTTTCTGGCCAAAAAAGAAAAAGTCTGACTTTCGGGCTTCGGGTCATTTTGACCCGCGAGGGAAAGATGATGCGTTACAAAGTGCGAGAGAAGGAAGTGTTCAGCATCAGTTCATTCCTATACACTACTCAGAAATACAGTTCTCATCAGCTTTAGTAGAAGATATGAACATATATCTGTTTTGTTGTTCAGTAAACTTCAATAAACAGTCAAATACATTGAGCACAACATTGTCCATTTGTGATTATTGCAGGATCTTTAATGCCTTGTAATTTAACTATCCAAAAACAATGAACAACTGTTCAAATCCCATTCAGACAAACATTGTGCTCTGTTTTCTGAAAGAAATCTGACAAGCCTCTCTCTGTCTCTTAGTTTCCAGGTGAAGTTCTTCTACATCTGCCAGATCGCCTACTGGCTCCACGCTCTTCCTGAACTGTATTTCCAGAAAGTGCGGAAGGTAAGGCTTCGGCCAGGCCGTGTGTGGTTGAAGCTGCTATACAATATGGGGAAACACTTTACAATAAGGCTCATTAGTTCATGTATTAATAACATGAACTAACCATGAGCAATACGTTTGTTACTGTATTTATTAATCTTTGTTAATGTTAGTTAATAAAAATACAGCTGTTCGTTGTTTGTTCATATTAGTTCACGGTGCTTTAACTAATGTTAACAAATACAACCTTTGATTTTAATAATCTATTAGTAAATGTTGAAATTAATATTAACATATTAATAAATGCTGTAGAATTATTGTTCATTCTTAGTTCATCTTAACTAATGCAGTTAAATAATGTTAACTAATGAGCCTTATTGCAAAGTGTTATCCAATATGGTTCTTGTAATATGCAATTAAATTGAAATTGTGTTTATTTTTGTTTCTAGGAAGATATTCCACGTCAGCTCTACTATATTTGCCTTTATATATTCCACACCACTGGTGCCTATGTCCTCAAGTGAGTGCTTTCTTATGAAGTTATTCAGAGCAGTTCTTCTGTAATGGTGAGAATGATGACCTTTAGAAGGTTGGAAATGAGTCTGAACATCAAACCGGGACTGAGATGAAGGCCATGTTTATTTAGACAACTACAACTCAGACTCTTACTCTAAGAAACCGATATGAGTTCACATGTTTTCTGATTGATCATCAAGTTGACGAGTGCATTAATTAGGGGTTTATAGATGTGTATTTTTGACTGGATGAAGAGTGAATCTTACTTGTGTGTGTGTGTGTGTGTGTGTGTGTGTGTGGTCTCTCAGTCTCCACCGTTTAGGTCTGGTCCTCCTGGTGCCGCATTACCTGGTAGAGCTGCTGTTTCACGCCTCACGCCTCTTCTACTTCAGTGATGAAAACAAGCAGAAAGGGTTCGTTCACTTCCTATCTTGAGCCCTCAAGTCATTGTGCTTATTTCCACATTGTTCTTGTCTTATAATCTTATAATCATTTTTTAAAAACGTTATATAACGCCTACTTCCTTTCCCCACACACGCTTCCTCTGCGAGACCTTTGAACTGTTAAAGTCCTCCTGTAGTCGATCATTTCATCCCTTAGAACTCATCTTTGATCACCAAAATAACATATTTAAACGTGTTTTCCTTGAAAAAAAATTTGTCATGTCTTAAAATATCTTGAATGTAACTCGACACCCTTGCCTCATTTAGTATGCGTGGTTCTATGAATATGCAGATGAGCCCCGCCTCCACTCACTCACTCAGCTCAGAGATCAACTGGTTGACGATCACACGTTGATCTGATTGGTTACAAGGTCGTTTGTGACGTCAGAAACACCAGCGATTTCAAACCGTGTTTTTGAGACTGTCTTTGGTTCACTGCAGTTTTAAGGAGAAAACACTCAGCAATGCTGTCGACTTATGGTTTGTCTTAAAGCACATTAAAAACACCACATAAACAACATTAAAGCTGTATGTTCAGCACAGGGCACTTTAAGACAGTTCCTGTAATGGGAGATGGTCAACTCTCTGAGGTTTTCCTGAGTGGTTCCCAGTCCTGAAGAGAACATGTGCCGCTCTCGGCTCGCCGGATCATGAGTGCAGAGATCTGCAGCGCTGGACACATTTACCGGCAAATTGTAGTCGTTACTGATTACAAATTACATTATAAAAATAGTAACGTTATCTAGATTTACATATTTTAGGTGATGTACTCTGACTACTTTTTGAGTGCTTTTAGGCCCTGTCCACACGGAAACGGTTTAGCTGTATACATACAAATGTTGTATCGTATTGGCATTTCGTCCAGACGGATCCGGAGTTTCGGGACACTGAAACCGACACCCTTGCGTGTTCGTGTGTACGGCCAATCCGTGCATTTTGTGAAACGATGATGTCATCACACCACGTGTCAGCGTTAGTCACACACCGCTACGTCACACGTAACAGCAACAACAATGGCGGACTATATGCTTGTGTTCGTGCTGCAGAAGCTACTGAGCCTATTAGCTTTACTAAAGCAAACTCTTCTGCTCCTATGCTACTACGGTGAGCACTCTTCGTCTTCACTGCTGTCGCGTTGGGTTTGTGTAGAGCGTGCGAGGTTATGTGCATGCTCCAAGTCTTCTTCTCCTTGTTTAGTCTATCTCTGTGGCAGAACTACAGCGCCACATACTGGTCTGGCATGTATACCACACCGGTTTCAGTGGTTTCGTGTGTACGCATATATTTCTTGAGACGACGCCGCGTTTACGCAAAAAAATTAGAACGAGGAAAAACAAAAAGATCGGATAGGGAAAGCTCTGGCTTCGTGTGGATGTGGCCTTAGATTACTCTTTTGATCTATCTCATTTATCACTTAGATTTGAATATATTATACACTCACCTAAAGGATTATTAGGAACACCTGTTCAATTTCTCATTAATGCAATTATCTAAACAACCAATCACATGGCAGTTGCTTCAATGCATTTAGGGGTGTGGTCCTGGTCAAGACAATCTCCTGAACTCCAAACTGAATGTCAGAATAGGAAAGAAAGGTGATTTAAGCAATTTTGAGTGTGGCATGGTTGTTGGTGCCAGACGGGCCGGTCTGAGTATTTCACAATCTGCTCAGTTACTGGGATTTTCACGCACAACCATTTCTAGGGTTTACAAAGAATGGTGTGAAAAGGAAAAACATCCAGTATGCGGCAGTCCTGTGGGCGAAAATGCCTTGTTGATGCTAGAGGTCAGAGGAGAATGGGCCGACTGATTCAAGCTGATAGAAGAGCAACTTTGACTGAAATAACCACTCGTTACAACCGAGGTATGCAGCAAAGCATTTGTGAAGCCACAACACGCACAACCTTGAGGCGGATGGGCTACAACAGCAAAGACCCCACCGGGTACCACTCATCTCCACTACAAATAGGAAAAATAGGCTACAATTTGCAAGAGCTCACCAAAATTGGACAGTTGAAGACTGGAAAAATGTTGCCTGGTCTGATGAGTCTCGATTTCTGTTGAGACATTCAGATGTTAGAGTCAGAATTTGGCGTAAACAGAATGAGAACATGGATCCATCATGCCTTGTTACCACTGTGCAGGCTGGTGGTGGTGGTGTAATGGTGTGGGGGATGTTTTCTTGGCACACTTTAGGCCCCTTAGTGCCAATTGGGCATCGTTTAAATGCCACGGCCTACCTGAGCATTGTTTCTGACCATGTCCATCCCTTTATGGCCACCATGTACCCATCCTCTGATGGCTACTTCCAGCAGGATAATGCACCATGTCACAAAGCTCGAATCATTTCAAATTGGTTTCTTGAACATGACAATGAGTTCACTGTACTAAAATGGCCCCCACAGTCACCAGATCTCGACCCAATAGAGCATCTTTAGGATGTGGTGGAACGGGAGCTTCGTGCCCTGGATGTGCATCCCACAAATCTCCATCAACTGCAAGATGCTATCCTATCAATATGGGCCAACATTTCTAAAGAATGCTTTCAGCACCTTGTTGAATCAATGCCACGTAGAATTAAGGCAGTTCTGAAGGCGAAAGGGGGTCAAACACAGTATTAGTATGGTGTTCCTAATAATCCTTTAGGTGAGTGTATATAAAATGTTCACCACAGGGGGACTTTAATAAAAATGTGCTGTGCTGTGTTTCTCTCTCAGGTTCACACTGTGGGCTCTGCTGTTTGTCATCACCCGCCTCCTGACACTCACTGTTTCTGTTTTGACGTTCGGATTCGGCCTGTCCCGCACAGATAACCAGGGGTTTTCCTTAGCGGATGGAAACTTCAATGTGCTCACTGTCAGGTAGGGCATCTCCCACACGGCTGCTTGCTCGGTGTAATGCACTTTTACTAATATAAGCAGTAGACAGATCTAATATTCTAACCGAACAATTAAGTGACTGTAAGACTGGATGCATGCTGGGTAATATCCTAATCAATCATCTTATGTGTGCTGACGATCTGTCCATTTTTTCTGCAAGGCTTTCAAAGGCTGCTAAATGTATGCTCTGATTATGGGATTAAATATGATGTAAGAATGAAGAAGAGTTTGTAAAACAAAAGGAGATAAGGACCTTCATTTTCCAGATCTGTATCTGTTAGGGCAAGTACTAAATGCATGCACTAAAACGAAATATTTGGGGCATGTCATTAATGTGTTATATGCTACGGCTGAGATATAGTAGATAGTCAGACTTCAGATAGACATCTAAATCAGACCGTTGCACGAAGCACTGAAGACTCTGACTATCTGAAGTAGGACTACACTGCAATGCATTCTGGGTAAAATAAGACACTTTTCAAAACATAAAAACATGGCGGATCGAGTAAGCGCATTCAACCGCTCAGTGCAGTTTACCCCAGCGGGAGTTATGTGTGTTTGTTGGAGGAGTGTAACAGTTACAAGGACATTTTACTTGGGAAATTTAGCGGAGAATGTAGTAACGAGGAAATGTTTAATTTGGACAAAGATTGCTCAACAGTTAACAGCGTTAATCCGACCGCTGAGCGGAGCGTTAAAGACGTACAGAAAAGATACAAAAACATGGTACAAGATGCCAAAAAATAAATGTTTAAGAGGAAATATCCAATAACGCGAGGAGGACCCCAAGAGAAACTCAAAAACACTGAAATGGTGATATATATATATTAGGGCTGTCAATCGATTAAAATTTTTAATCTAATTAATTACATACTCTGTAATTAATTAATCTAAATGAATCGCATACATAATTTTACAATGTTTACATGGTACAATATCTGGTAAGCTACGTTTTTATTGTTATTGCTTGACACAAATTTCACGATTTCAATTTAATTTAATTCTTGTGATTTGATGCAATATTGACTCATTTGGATAAATATTAGGTACACAAGATAGGCATTCATTTTTCTCAAGGAAAAAAAATCTCACCCAATGCTGTAAAAATACAGAGAGCCATATCAGCTGGTAGTATTTAAGGTTAAAAATAGCTCAAATTAAATATAATGTGTGTTTATTACAAATAACAACTTTGATAACGGCTAAGTAAAAATATAATACATATGTAATATAGTAGTAGGCTACATAAATTTAGAAAAATACTCTCTATAGCTCTTTTTTTATAGCCAACTATAACGTGCTATATGGTCATGAAATGGCTTTCCTGAGGTAACTTTTTAGGCTAAATGTTATGTGACATAATTGTTCTCCAGCTGTTTTATTGACCTCTTTTCGCGGTTGAAAAACACTGATTGATCGAGGAATATACATTTCGGTAAGTTTTAGGCTGCCCTACTGTATCTTTCAACATTGGTCATTCGTGTTTATTTACTATTAGCTAGAGAGATGATCGGTTCACGTGCCGCTAGGGATCTGTCATGTCACATTTACAAGCGCCAAAACGGTATTTATTGTTTGATTTTCGTAATAAAATTGACAGAATCTGAGAGCTGAGATTTTTTTAATATCATAAGTAACGTGCTCTGTCTTGTCTGTTTCCGTGTCCTCTCTTTGGTGCGCGATTTTTATGTGCGTGAGAAAATGCTGTGTGACGTGAGAGCGCGTGAAAAGTTACAACACACACACACACACACACACACACACACACACAAGCGCCCTTTCTCTCAGACACACTCACCGACTCACGCACACACTCCTGGATGCTTTGCATTGATGTGGTACTTTAGAGTTGACGAACTCCGTTTGTTATAAGTAAATGTTCCAAACAATGATCCAAGCAGCGCGTTCTTGTCTCCCTCCTTTTTACACGAATGGTGGCTACGGCTAGAACGGCTCCGCAAAGGTCAAAACGGATCAATGGATTAATCTGCGTTATTTTTTTAACGCGTTATTTCTTCTCAGATTAATTAATCGAAATTAACGCGTTATTTTGACAGCCCTAATATATATATATATGTTAACGGCCATTTTCCCTTTTCTTTCGGCTGTTTGTAGTGTAACTGATTGTTACTGCTTGTTGCCAAGGTAACAGAGTCTTATGGCGCTTTTCCACTGCATGGTACGGTACGGCTCGGCTCGCTTTAAATGGTACCACCTCTGTTGAGGTTCCAAGCGTACCGGACCGATACTAAAATGTGACGTGAACACACTGCAGATCACTGATTGGTCAGACAGAATCGTCACTACCAGCGTCATTGTATTTGCGAGACATCAAACCCGCTAGATTTAAATAGCCAGTAACAGCCACCGCTGTAGCACCTGTTTTAAAACTACTTGCTTGACTTGCTTGAAGAAAAAAGAAAGAAAGAAAACTTCCAAAAAAGGAATGGCTGAATCGTGGTCAGTGGACGAAGTGCAGACGTTCCTCTCGTTGGTTGCCGAGGAGCGGATAAACTATAACGGTCAGACTATAATCCCACCCACTTTAAAGCGGTACTAACTGCAGTGGAAAAGCAAACCGAGCTAAAGCGAACCGAGCCGTGCTGTGCCGGGCCGAGTCGTACCACGCAGTGGAAAAGCGAAGCGAGCCGAACCGTACTGAGCCATAGCGAGTCGTACCACGCAGTGGAAAAGCGAAGCGAGTCGAACCGTACTGAGCCATAGCGAGCCGTACCAGCAGTGGAAAAGCGCCATTAGACCTAAGTTAGCCTGGGGGAAAGGTGTCTATTTTTTTTGGTCTAAATAAGTCAGTCTTTATTTTTGTGAAACAATCTAACTTGCATTAGACTAGTCTATGGGCAAATTTTAGACTTGTCTAACACTATAGACCGGTCTAAAATAGCTTTGTGAAACCGGCCCTGAAGTGTGAATCTACATGACCAGCGCCATCATGTGCTCTGTGAAGTTGGGCTGCTCATCATCTGACTTGTGTTCATGATGTCAGGTTTAAATTCTGATGTTGAATAATAACTGGGTGGGATGATGTGAAGGCGGTGTATTATTTGATCCAGGTCCGCTAGAACTGTATTGGCACTGTGGGTCATCAGGCTTAAACAACAGATAGAGCTGGGAGTCATTACTATAGCAGGTTTCAACGTTGCCATCAGGGCTGAATGATATATATATTGTGTATATTGCGAACAGGAGAGGGCCAAACATCGAGCCCTGAGGCATTCAAGGGTTCGCTGGTGTGATGTGACGGTCCTCCACGACACCTTCACTGATCTAACAGGGAGAGTAGAGCTCAAACCGCAGTCATTCTGGTGTAAATGCTGAGTATGTGTGAGTGTTGGACTGTCCTCTTTCAGGATGACCTGTCTGTCGGCCATCTGCCTGACCCAGGCCTGGATGATGTGGAAATTCATAAACTTCCAGCTAAAGAAGTGGAGAGAACAAACTCAAATCCAGGCCAGTAAGAAGAAAGCTGTCAGCCCGAAAAGCAGACCCAGCAAGAAGGACTCCAGAGGCGAGTCTTTCCTGACAGACATTTTGCATGGAAATTATAATGATCAATTACAGTAATCTTTCTAGTTATATTTCTTTTGTGCTAAATTAGGGGCCATTTATGCAACACGGTTTTTAACTTACAAAAAAAAAAAAAAAAAGTTTTATAAGGGGTGTGAATCGGACAGTTCATCACGATACGATACGATATCGATTCTCTCAGCCAGCGATACGATATTTTCCGATACCTCAAAAAATTCTGCAATACGATATATGGCAAAAACTCCACATTTCATGTTTCAGAGTTAAAGCCAAGTAATTGCTATGATGCAAAATAAAACACTTGGTTAATCTTTGTAACGTTAATCTCCTCAGCTGACATAGACACCGGTCAAACTTTGTTGTTGTGATTAACGTACACGCAACACAGAGAGCTATTCCCTCACCGCTAACAAGCTGTTTTAGCAAGCTTCGTGAAAAAGTTTCAACTTTTATTTTCCTTTTACGCCCCGAAGAAGATATCACATATTTTAGTAGTCATCATAAATCAGGTATCAATCAAAGGCATAAATACTCAAAATTCATCCTGTGACAACTGTTTTGAAATTAATGGGCGGTCGCGTTTACTGCACTGTATTAAAATCACATATTTTTTCCTAATCTTGACAAAACGTATCATTGTAAAGAAGAGTCAAGGTTCCATATTTGGCCTCTGATTTGTGATAGAAGTGATATTGTGACAGCAATGTAATTATTTGTGACACCGGATAATACGATTAAAAAAAAATCTAAATGATGTGTGTGTCACCTGGTGGCTGTTTTTGGTAAAGCTCCTAATGGATGCCAGCCGAGCTTAGCCCCTCCCACAACATCTGAGCTCGGGAAGTTCGGTCTGGACTTGATCCGTTGTGGAGCAACTATACTCGAACCAAAGCTGTTCGGACCAATCAAAGTGTCAGGGCCCTTTATGCGCTGATGGACAGATGATCAACTGTAACGTAATCATCCACGTCACCAAAGAGTGCTTGGGTTGAGTTCGTTTACAACAAAGATGGCCGCCGCTGGAGAACTGAGATGTGTAGATTCAGCCATCGCGTCTGTTATAGAAGATGTAGACAGCGCATTCATTTAGAAGAGGAACAGAGAACCGCGATCAAGGCATTTGAAAGATGTTTTTGCCGTCCTTCCTACGGGATTCAACATACGTCATTACTCCGTTGCTCTGATTGGTTGTAGGTCTATCCAATTGAGTGCAGAGGCATTCCCTGGTTGGGTTGAAACGCCCCATAATCACAGCCTGACTAGACTATATACCTGACTATATTCTGACTAGAATCTGAGTATGACGACGTCAGGCTAACATTTTTGTGTTATCAACTTCAAATTTGGAACACATCTCGGGTAGACTTTAATTTTTCATAGAAATTTTAGAGTCTAAAAAAAGCATGCAGAACAATTGTTTTTTATTTCTTTCTTGACAAAATGCCACTACCAGGAAATGCCTCGGATCCAGACATGCACAGTGGCGTTGAAATTCCTCAGTTTTCCTTCCTAACGCTGTTATTTCTTGTTGGCAGGGGGTTCAGTGAATGGAGTCATGAAGCCGGACGACAAGACGTCGCCCAGAGCCAGAAAAGCTAAAGCCTCGTAAAAGGGGAAGAGGCCCGAAGTGTGATGCTCTGTTTCCACTCTGAACTGTAGGAAAGAAACAGATTGATAACTGCGAAACGAACCACAAACTAAGGAACTAAGTTGTACGGCATGGTTCAGGTGTAATTTTTCATTTTCAAAAAGAACTATAGATTTATAAGCATTCGTTATATCCATTTGCTCGTGACTTCTGGTAAGAGTGTGAGGTTTTCTGAATGGTTTGTGCTGGACATGAAGAGAGATCATCCTCATCTTCAACTCCAGTGTCTGCACAATGCAAAAATCTCTGTGTGTCTTGCTGAGAAGTTAATCCGGCCCTGAGCTCAACACAGTTAACCCCTATTGGCCATCATCTCTGTGCTTCTCATGAAACACCCCGTGTGGATAGAAGCCTTGAGTCCCAGTTGTTGACCTCGATCCTCTCAGTGCTTACGCTACGATGAAGCTCAGTCTGAGGTGGCGAAGGACTGGTCACCTGACACACAACACGTCGGTTTCATGTAGCTTTTAAATGACCTTCGCTGTGTAATTTTACATTGAAACACTGGAAGCAGGAACCACTGATTTTAGGCTCTGGTTTCAGTGTTTTGCTGAGTGTGAATGTTGTTTAAGGCGAATCTTTTTGTGATTGTTAGTAGTGACGTCAGTTGCGTCAGAGCTGTTTGTAAGGGCTCCCCCTGAAGGAAACCGGTCTGGGGGGGGGGCAGTGTTTGGGTGCGTCCGTGGACCGTTGTTGAGGTGGTTGATGATGGCTCCCCCTGCAGGCTTGGATGATTTATTGATTTAAGGGTTGTAATGCCTTTTTTTCTTTTTTTTGCATTTTGCCCCAGGAAGGGTTTCACATGCTAACCCAGGACTAATAAAGAGCCTAAGTTCGGTTTCTTGGTGCTTATTGCTACCATATATGGTAATCGATATAATCCATAATTCATGCCTAATGATATCCCTCCTAGTTTCAGTTGTGATGCCGATGCACTCTGGGGCCACACTAAAGCCTGGCTCTCACCACAGGAGCTTTAGGCCGATCTGCGCATGATTTACCTCTTGTCCATGATACTGGCAAATGGTCGGTCCAATGTTCGGATGATCTGGCAATGTGAGGCGTTTACAGATCAAATCTTAAACCTCCCGTACAACGCCGTAACTCGCTGCTTCACTACTACGGTACGATGCATCGTTGAAGAAATCAACTAGCTCGTCACGACTGTTTCCCGCAACCGTATTGTCGCAAAGTGGTAGTTCAACCACGTTGGTTAATAACTACTTTTAACAAATCTGTTGAGATCGAATTAATGCTAGATGTTTTGATATAAATTACAGACATGGATCTGAGGACTATCTCTCATTTTTCTCAGTTATTTCGCTTCATTTCCAGATTCAATCATAAGCCCCTTTCACACAGAGATTCCGGAAAATACATGGATAAAGCGACCCGGTATTTGACCCGGGTTCGTTTGATTTTGCTTCATTCACACTGCCAGTGATTTGCCGGAATCAGAGAGCGCGTTCACACACAACCCGTGTATGTTCCGGAAAGACGCGTGACATCGATGTGACATGTAATGTCTCAGCAACGTGTATAGTTTGCTTATGAGCTGCGATTTCTCTCTGGAGAAACCACGCTTGTGCATTTTTTTCTCTGATTCGATCATAAACTAGCGCATTACGTACCGTTTCACTAGCCTGCTTTCACTTCACTTCAGCGTCATCATTACGACACGGCATTGGTTACGGCTTTTGTTCACACAGCGCGCGTTCCGGGCCTGAACACGGCAATGTTACTAGGTCCCCACCCCGGCATCAATCCCGGCATCAGTCCCGGGTCGTGTTTGCGTTCACACAGAAGGCACTCTGGCAATTTGCCGGGTTCAAAGCGCTGTGTGAAAGGGGCTATAGACTCCTCCTTACGCTCTAGAGCTCGTTCACACATGCGCAGTCTTTAAAAACGACGCTTTAAATCTCTTGACAAACTCAAAGATGTAAATGACATTTTATTCTAAATAAAAGACACAGGTTGCTCTGAATGTCAGATTGCTTATTTGGCTCAAGATTCTGATTTATTGTCATGCAAATAATAAATCCGATAAATAAATCGTATTCACATGTCATGCAAACAAGAAACTCTGCTTCTCACCACAGCTCGAGATCTGTCGCTCACACACACAACTCTGCGATGCTGTTTGCGAATGTTCGTTGGAACGATGCTTTCGGGAAACTGGTCGTGGACACATCGTGGACCCTGGTCGTGGACACATCGGGGCCGAGACGATTTTAATCAAAAATGTTTGATATTTAGGACTGAGAGAAGTGAATGAGAGCACTTTTGAAATCGGTTCAGATGAAGTCGTAGAGTCGGTGTGAACAGCTTTTACAGTGCGAGCTGGAGGTGAATCTTCTGTCAGCTCGCTTTCTGATTGGGTATCGCTTCGTTTCACGTGATAAATCTTCTGTCAACTAACAAACAACATGTTGAAGTCAGAATTGTGAAACATAAACTTACAATTGCGTGTTATAAAGTCCAGAATTATGGGGGAAAAAACATGCAATTCTGAGGAAAAAAGTAATTTTCCTTAGAATTGGACTCACAATTGACTTTACATCTCGCAATTCTGATTTTATATCTCGTAATTCTGACTATATCTCGCAATTCTGACTTTATATCTCGTAATTCTGACTATATCTCGCAATTCTGACTTTATATCTCGTAATTATGACTATATCTCGCAATTATGACTTTACATCTCGCAATTCTGACTTTACATCTCGCAATTCTGACTTTATATCTCGTAATTGTGACTATATCTCGCAATAATGACTTTAATCTCGCAATTATGACTTTATATCATGCAATTGTGAGAAATAAAGTCAGAATTTCGAGATGTAAACTCGCAATTGTGAGACAAAAAGTCGCAATTATCTTTTAAAATGTGTTAGTCTGTGGCGTAAACAAGCTTCCGCACTTACCACACCTCACACCACAGGAGGATCTGGCAAGATGATCTGAAGAGCCATCTAGATAATCAGGACTTAACCGAGGATCGTCGCAAGGGGAGAAATCGCCCTAAAGTCTCTTGATGTGTGGCTGGCTTAAAGACTTTAATATGACTGTGCAAGTGTGGATTTGGTCTTTAACGCAGTGAAAGCCAGTCTTGTGGGAAAGGTTTCAAATTATAAAAAAATGGGAAGAGGTTTTGGGTGCAAAATGTTGCAATGTGCATGTGGAGAGTTTCTGTGAGCCACACCTGTTCTTCTACGAGGAGCCTCCTTTCCAACACTGTGGCCTTTTCCCTTCTGTGTGTGTGTGTGTGTGTGTCTCTCGTGTGTCTGTCAGCTGCGGTGTGAAGCTCATATGAAACCATGCGATTCTCTAAGTGTCCTTAAGCTAACAACAGTAGAAGTCTTTCTCGGTTTAAGCTCTGTTGAGTTCTTTCTGCGTCTTTGTTATGTGTTTATTAGTGTGATGAGAGATTTTGATCATCTTTATCCTTGTTGAAATGCCGTGAACGTGTGCATGTTGCGATCTGTGAAAGATTTGCCTCGTTGAGAGCGTTTAATGCCTAATAGCAGAAATAAAACCATAGGCTTTTCTGTTAAAGTTCTTTTTCTTTTATTTTTGTATAATCAAGCATGTAAGCAAGACACAAGCTGCCAGTTCACTTAATTTATTGTGTGAACCCTGCCTTCACACACACACACACGCATGCTATTTATTACACAGATTCACACACACACACACACACACTGTGGTGTATATTAGTTGCCAAATTGATTATAAGGGACTTTCTCCAATGATTTTGTCTGTTCACATTAGAAATCATGCTTGGTTTGGCTTTAGCTCAGCACATATGTGAAAAGCAGACTCAAAGCAGACAGTTTCTTGAGCAGAGATCACACAGAAACGTTAATGGTGACCTTGGTAATGCTCAGAGGTCGTTCTCGATTCAGGGTTTAAACTGCGATCTGTTAGTGATGTTTTGAAATAACACACCTGTACGGATACGCCTCACACATTTTGTTTGTAATGCAAAGCTGAGTCCTGACATTCAAGTTGGTGCTGGTTCTTGTCTAACACATGTTGTGTTTGAGGGCATGAGGTTTGATAACATAATAAAATCTCCCATGATTACACAGAAGGTTTTGGTTTTTGTCCCAAACCTCCAACTCACCCCCACATCCAACCTTTGGTTCAGGATTTTTCAGAGGAAACTTTTTATTTTTTTTAGTTTACAAATCTTTTTTTTTTTTTTTTTTGCTGACTGATGCTTGGCAAACTAAAGACAAAAAGAAAATTATTAAATAAAGTCATTCACTACTGAATAATTGTCAGATTTGTAAACTATTTTTATAACGTTTGAAATGTTGAGAGATGAACATGTATTTAGAGCATATCAATATTTTACTGCTTTATGGGTTTATTATTTTTATACTGTGTGGGAGAAGCTTTCTACCATTTCAGTGGGACTGCAAAATGATAAATACTTCTAGTGACTATAGATATTGTGAAAAGATTCATGCGTTACTGCCGCATTCCCTGATTTGTCACTGTTTTTAATTTGGGGAATAAAAAGTTATTAAGAGTCTGTAATCTGTATGATAAGTCTTCATTTTGTGTTCTGTTTGAGTAATGGGATTCTGGTGGATAAACACTCACGCTCTCATTGATCTGTCACTCTAATGGAGAACTGTGCCGTTTTTGATGTGACTTAATTGTTTTCATTTTGTGTATAAAATGTAAATGGACAAAAAATCTAATTCACAAAATCAGTTTTTACAATATTTGCAGTGATCATTCATCATCATCACCACAATTATTCTGATATCCGTCAAATTAAAAGATGCACCAAAGCCTTCTGAAATATCAGATACACAGAGGCTAAGTTAATTTCCAACATTTACGCTGTTACTTTTCTAATGCTTTCCTGTATGTTGAGATATACGTTTTTTTATACATATAAAATGTTATTAATATATATATATGTATTTATGCAAGTCTGTGTGATGCTTTTTGTATGTTTGTTCTTTGATTAAACCTTTTGCTTAACACTAGTTTTGATCATTTTGACCCCATGTCTTTCTGTTGTACTGTCGAGGCTATTAAAAATACAGCTTAAAATCTCCAGATGACAACATGAAGTTTTGGAAAAGTCAGCTAAATATAGCGGTATATAAAGTGTAGCACTACTGTTGTCTCAAAGTAACATGCGAAAGATGTTTTCCTAAATACTACACACAAATTGATTGAGCTTTAACTAACAACACACGTCCAGTTAAGGAGAATTCAGTTTCTTTTCAAATGACTGGATCATAGTGAAGTTTAACTCAGTCCTAATGTACTTATTTTTAGATATCTTGATGCCATATTTATTTACTTTAGCTCAAGAACTGTGACGCGCAGTTTAAAGACCGGATGTGACGCTAGGATTGGACGGCCAGCATTTTGTGATTGGTCCATCTTGACTCTTGACAGCACGAAGAAAAGTAACTCATACCATGTGACATCCAAACTGCTGAACTGTGTAATAATTAATAAATTAATTGTGAATAATGACACAGAGAAACGCTAACAGCTACTGAATTGGAAATCCGCAATATGGGACCAGGATAATTATTATTATTTTGATCCATTGTACTTGACCAATCACAGACATCTCTCGGCCCGGTAACTCCGCCCACTTGTGTTCCCCGGATCAATGCGTTCTTCCCACACACGTGACGTCATCGCTCGGTCCCGTTGGCATCCGAGCTGTCAGTGATCAGATCATCATCATGGCAGGGATGGAGGTCGCACCGCTGAGACCGTGGGATGATTTTTACCCTGGCCTTGACCGATTCTCCAAACCCGATGTGAAAGATTTAAGCAAATGGAACAACAGAGTCATCAGCAACCTGCTTTATTTCCAGACGAATTACTTTGCTGTCGCCATCGTCGTAATGCTGATTGTCGGGTAAGTAAATATATTCAATGTATAATTCATTATTTATATTTATTAGTGAATGCATCATTTAATCTGTAAGTTACATAATTTCAGAAGCTTGCATAAATGGCGCAGCCACTGAGCCAGCTCGACTAGAGCAAGATCCTCCATTTAATGCACCATTATTTCACTTCAGAACGTTAAAGATAGGATTTAAAATAGTAAATCAGAAGAACACCGTATTGTTATCACCGAGACGTGTGAAATATGTCATGTGCGTGTGCGGAATGTGTTTGACAGGGACCCACCCTCGGTCATGCCAGCCTCGCGCAGGCCTTTTGTTTTCCAGCTTTCTGGAATCGGTGAGTCACTTTCTGTGGCTGAAAAAAAGGATGAGAAAATATTATACACGAGGAACAGACTGGATTTATTAGTAGTAGTAGTAGTAATAATATTAGATTGACACTACAGATATATGGTAGACTACAATGAATATGGTTAAGGTTATAGTTTTATCTTATTTATTGATAGAACTCAACTTTTTTTTTTAAGTTGGCTTTTGGCTTGCTTAGTTGAACTCTTAATATTCAACAATATTATTGATCTGCCTGCATTGACACATTATATGAGAACTGAGCTGGACGATGACATCACCGTTTTCTCCAGAGCGGCTATAAATTAACTAAATTACTAAATAACTTTTTTACAACAAAAATGAACCATCATTGAACTTACTTAAGCTGGACTGTGACGCTATTTGTTTGTAGAAACAAACTTTGTTGCATCATTTTCCTGTTATCATTGTAAAGCTGCTTTGAAATAATCTGTATTTTAAAAAGTGCTATATAAATAAATGTGACTTAACTTAAAACAATACAATTTGAGGGGTTTTGCAGTTATTTTCAAAAAAAACTATCAAAACCTTATACAAAGGATGTAGCCGTTCTATAAAATTAGCAAGGGGGACTTCTGGCAGATTTGAAATAGTTTTTGTTTGTGTTAGCAACACAAATAATTGCTCTTCACATTAAAAAAAAAAAAGTAAATTTTAGTAAATTACAGCATTAGGGAAAACATTTAAGTTATGTCAGTTTGCAGATGACACTGCCTTATTTTTGAAAGATAGGAATAAAAACATTATTAAAGCGTGAAATGCATAAAAGATTTCTCAGATGTATCAGGGCTAAGAATGAATATAAGTAAATCAGTTCTGTTTCCTCTTGAAGAATGTTGTTTAACTAACTTCTGTAATATTCCAATTGCAAATCAAGGAGTTGTTATATATCTGGTAGTTATATGTAAAGATGAATACCTGCGTAATAATTCAAACTTCAATCCAATTATTAACAAAACTAGTAAGAGGTTTAATATGTGGTTACAAAGGAATCTGTCAATTCAGGGGCGGGTACTTTTGTCAAAAGCTGAAGGAATCTCCAGATCAGTCTATGTGTCGTTATCATTGGAAATATCCCCTTAAGTTACCAGACAATTGTGTCCACCTTATTCCTACGCCCCATGAGGCGTTGCGCGAATTATGGGTGTAACTTCCGTTAAGCTGTAAACAATCAGTGAAAGGCTCGCTCTATGAACGCAATATGTTAAAAAAAAGTGTCACAATGAGATGACATTAATCGACTCACCCTTCAACCATCGACACATTAAAATGAAATTTAAAAGTTTAAAATAATCAACAAGGTCAACAGACCAAAAATAGCCCCAAACGCGCGAGTCTTTGGTTAAATATCACTGTAGTAGGCAAATATACCTATTGTATAACAAGCCTTAATCAAAAATGTTCATTAACTTCAGCATTACGTGACACTATATCAAAGTGATTTCCGTCATTTTGACAGATTATAAATTGCATTTACCTGTGAAAACAAACCTGGAAAGAAACGTGAGGATTTGAGGAGAATAACGAGAGATTCTTCGTGCATTCCAGTGAATTATTATCGTAAATTAAATTCGGGAGAACAGACCACAAATGTGCCGTATATGTTGTACCTTTTCATACTTTTACAGCGGATTGCAAAGGAAAAAATAAAAATCATCATGAGGAAAAGAAAGCAGCGACTGAAAAGAGCTCTTGCCATAGATATTCTTGTTATAACATGTCACGTTAAAATACCAAGTATAACGTTATTCTCTTGATGTCTGAAAATAAATCATGAAGGAAAATTGACAGCTCATCCAGTCAAACTGACGGATCAGCTTTACTTGAAGGGCAACCTTATGATTTGAAATTATTCGTTTCAGCCTTTTTGAATGGAAGTTCCCCAAACCGGAAGTGCCACCCATAATTCAAAACGCAGTAAGGTTGTCAGGAATAAGGTGGATAAAATGCTTTTTGATTTTATTTGGAAAAACAAGAAATTTACGGAAGTCCAAAAGCAGTCGCTTCATGTACCATAAGAACCATAAGAAACGGTTGCACGCTTCAGTTCGTGCGCAGACATCCCACTTTTCCCCCGGGGACTGGTTTATAGCGATGGGTTGGAAAGACGTGTACTTTCCCCTTCATAGCTCCTCATCTCAGGCGTTTTCTGAGGTTCGTGTTCGAGGCGGTCCCCCATCAGGTCAAAGTTCTGCCGTTTGGGAAATGGCTTTGGCACCCTGGACATTTACAACATGCATAAAAGTGCAGCGCTTTCCCCCTTGAGACTCAGTGGGATGCGCATGTTGAACTACCGGGACGATTGGCGTATCATCTCCCATTCACAGCAGGTGCTGGAGGAACACAAACGCAGAGTTCTGTCAGGGAACATGCCCTAAAGAGCAAGCTTCAGCCCTCTCAGTCCATCACATTCCTGGCAATGATTTTAGACTTTCGGTCGATGGTCGCGCGGCTGTCACCGGAACCAGTTCAGACCGGTTTCAATGCTGCATTTCGGGTGGGTTAGAACAAGCCATGGCTCTGAAGTCTCTCCAGAGACTGATGGGATTGATGGCAGCTGCAGCCCCCGTCCCGTGACAGAGGGTGGTCAGTCACAACAGATGCATCGCTGAGCGGCCCTGTGTGATGGCAGACCGGTCGGGTTCGATCGGATGCCCAGAGTCAGTGGCATATAAACCGCCTGGAAATGAAGGCTGTTCATTCAGCCCTGCAGGAATTCTGCTGTTTGTGAGAGCATTCGACCGGACAACGCAGCGGTGGTGGCGGCATTCATCGATCACAGGCTGGAGGAGCATTAAGGTCCTTGCACACTGAGTCCGAAATTCACGCCCGTTAAAAAATAAATACGACCTCATGTTTAGTCAATCACTTTTACACACTGCTTTCGAAACTTTCGTCCGTCATAAAAAAATTCAGATCGGATTCGATTTTCTGCGTTTTTCGGAGCATTTTGAATGGTGTTTTGACAAGTCAGAGCCACCGAATGACGAATACGAAAAAACGCATACGACAATTTCGGACTCAGTGTGCAAGGACCTTTACTATTGAGGACAGACCAGAGGCTGCATTGGATAAGGGCAGTTGACACACCGGGCAGGTTGAACCATCCAGAGAGGGTGTGGTGCACGGAGAATAAAGGCTACACCCTCAGACGGGCGCCTGATGAGGACTTTGCCGAAGCCGAGGTCGACCTCTTCGCCACGGAGTAGGATACTCACCGCCCTCTCTTCTCTGTCGGACACCCCTGGATGGAGAGCAGCTGGCCCGCGAAACAGAAGTATGCTTTCCCTCCAGTAAATATATTGAAGCTAGTGCTGCAGAAAATCAGGGAGGAAAGGGAGACCCTGTTACTGGTAGAGCCGGCATGGCCCAACCAGTCATGGTTTCCGGAGCTTGTGGCCCAATCGGCTGACAAAGCACCTCCTATCCCAGGCGAGGGACAGCGTCTGCATCCCAGGCCGGAGCGGTGGGATTAGCATGTGGGGCAGGTCAGCGCAGCGTGCGTCCGCTAGGACCTCTGTCCCTCTAGGGGGGTTCAGGGGCATGCTCCCCCGTAAGAAAATGTTGTGCTTTTTAATGTTAAATTCATCAATCTGGTACACTTTGAGAGTTCAAAATAAAGAGCTCCATCCCATATTCAGTGTGCAAATTGAACAAAGAAAAACTCAAAACTCTTTTAGTTGTGATATAGTGTCTGTCTACATTACACTACTACATATTAATAGTTATAATATTAATCCCATGGCAGTAATAGCCATGTGTTCTAAAACAAATGCACTGAAAAATAAAAGCAACTTTCATAATTAGTTTCGAACTAATTTCTATACTTGAAAGAGATAAACACATGATCTTTTATTTTGACGGAAACGGCATCAAGCTTTTATTTTGGCGAAAAACATGGTTTACAAACTCGTCTCATTACAATTCTAATAAAATGCGTATTCATCAAATATGCAGATGTGGAAATAATGCGTAACTGGGTAGTGGGTTCCTACATAGCCTAAGTGTTGTGACAGTAGCCTAGTTCTGCTTACCACAGTTCTCTGCACTCACTCATCTCTCTCCTGATCCTCCTCACTATCCTCATCAGACACTTGAAGGGCCTTTGAAGTTTCTTTTTTCACGCTATTTCTCTGCACATTCCTTGCGTTTCTTCTCCATCGCTCTGACTATTTTTGACAGATACACACTGACACTGCTCGCTCACTCAAAGCTATTTAAAGATGTGATTGGACCAGCCCAGTTTCAATCAAGAAAATAACCAATGGGCCGCTGATCTCCGCGTTTCATCATGCGCCGGTCTGTGAGAAAAAGAAAAACCTACGCTGACTTTTTTATCCAATGCAATACACCGGCACAAAGATCCCAGAGCCGCCAATTAAACAAAACTAAACGCAATGGGCCGCCGATGTACGAGTTTTATGGGCCGTTCAGACAAAAAATAAAATAATAATAATTAAAGTACGAGATGTATCGGCCCACAAAGCACGTCGACCCACCGGGAAAATGCCCGGTATGCCCGATGGCCAGTCCAGCCCTGCTCCCCGCCCCTGTTAAATGCCCGTCTGGGACCTGTCTTTGGTGCTTAGAGCGATGAACAGCCCTCCTTTCGAACCGCATCATGCGTTCGAGCTGG